TCAGCAAAGAAATTTTTGACTAACGTACGAAAAATCCTAGATCCGCCCCTGAATTTCCGCTATAGTATAGCAAGTTCTATTAGAATCTTACTGCTATAGATGTGCCAACGCGGTTATTAAAAAAAGTGAACAGATATCTAAAAAAAGCTATGCCGATCTTTTCAGTCAAGAAGCGCAACATTCTAAAACGCCGTTTCCTTTTTATACATATGTAACTCTGGACATATGGTCTCCGTCTTTAACTGAAAAGCACACTGCCTTGCCATGGTCATTCAAAGCTGGCTATACTTGCAATCGCCCAGGCTTCAACCACATTATACAGCTTCGCCAATGGCAGGGTCCAAAGGAAGCCTGTCCGGGTAGATTTGCTGGAAAATGACCCCTTTGAACCATTTATACCTATACGATTTGCAGGATGTTATTACAGTAAAGCATGCATTGGGGGGGGGGTTAACACCAAACTAATTTAGGAACAGCACTGTGACCAAAAGGTAACTGACATGTCAACCGGAAGGGCTGGTTATAGTATGAACTTCCCTGCGTGTTCAAGTTTCGAGGAGCAATTGCTTTGAAATTGCTTGAAAGAAAAGTTTGTTTTAGGAGATTTGTTCAAGTCATTAGCGTTTATACTACATAGAATTATTATATTGCAAAACATTAATAACAAATATGTGTCTAGCGAATTGATTTTCACCATTGATTGTTATGAAAATTAATTTAGCATATTTACATTCATCAGTTACGTTTGTCAGTATTTTATCAAAGAAATCCTTGGACCGGAGGTATTTGTCTAGACTGCGAGCGGTCCCTCCTTTCAACGGGTTTAGCTTCCCGGGCGTATACGAGGGGAAAGGAAGAACTGCCGACAACACATCAAGAAACGAAATACGACCGCTTTTCGCTCTTGTCATGTTGGCTCCGCTTTTGCATAAACATTACAGCTTATGTCCAATTAAATCTATCCAATAGAGCCGTTAATGTCATGTTTTTATTTATAAAATGAACATTCAGTCTGGAAATTATATTTCTGGCATAATTATACTACAATCAGATTTGATTGACAGGCACATCGATTTCGATCAATGGGAATTTTGCGTTGTGTGGGCAACGCCTCTTTCGTTTCTTGATATGTTGTCGGCAGTCCTTCCTTTCTCCCGAGGAACTGCTCGCGGGCTAGTACTTGTCCGCTTAAGAGAGGCATGCATCAAAATAGGGGTTCGAATGTATAATATTTATTTAAAATGATTTTACTTGACATTTACTTTTGCGTGTTTTAATAAGACAGGTGATAATATTTCTTCTATTAGACGTAGATGTCTGTGCTGACAATATGCACTTCATTAGAAAATAAACATTTCATTAATAATATTGTTTCCTATATTATTACTCATTTGGGAGATATTTAATATATCATATATCACATCTCAATTCTGCCTAAGCAACAAGAACATCAACTTCAAAGCCGACCCTGAAACGTTTTCATAAATTACGGAATGAATGAGACGGCCATGTCAATATGTTCTTCGCGTTGGATGTCTCTTCCAATTTCCTATATCATTCCCCGTTGTGTAATACTATCAATCGGATTATCCTCGAACATTTTGCTCATCGTTGGACTAATAATTATATAATAGATCCCTTAAAGTGTTTCAAAAATTCTTCATCCTACTTAATAATGCACCTTGCCATTACAGATAGTTTGTCATGTCTCCCATGGTTTTTGATAGAATACTGGCGACCATGCATAAATTATACGGTTTATCCATTTATTCATTTGCCACCTTATATTTCATGCTCGTCAATTTTTACCATGGCTTTTGACCGTTTCACGAGTTGTGTCTATCCGTTCAAATATAGAACTCTAGTGTCTCGGAAAGTGACGTTAGCAGTAATCCTCTTACAGTGGTTACTTTGCACGGGACAATTGGTGTTTGAAATCTACGATGACTGGTCAACTTATTCGAGGTGCATTATTGCTTTATCCACATTGCTTAGCGCGGCAATAATGTACGGCAAAGCAGCATATGTTTTGAAAAATAATTCGAAATATTTAAAGCGTATAGCGGGGGTTTCATCAACCACATTTAATAGAGCACAACGTGCACGCTTGGTGAATGAGAAACGCTTGATGACAACAATGTTTTTGGTGTCCTTCATTACAATAATAACGTTGGCTCCCAAAATGATCTATGAATTCATTACTGGTGAAAAAGACCGCTCTGATGACAAAAAATTGGACTATTCTAACATTGGCCGCGTCGGAGATGCTGTCCATATATGGCTTACAACGTTACTATACGTTAACTTTTCAATTAATCCGTTTATGTATATCTGGCGTTTGAAGAATTACAGAGAAACATTTAAAATAATTCTTAAAATACGTTTCTGATAGAAAACTATACAAGACCGAAGATATTAAAGTATTGTATTTTAATATGTAGTTATATTCAATATGGAACATAAAGATTACTTAGGAAGTATTACAGGAAATGAAAGTGTCGTGTAATAAACGTACGAGCGACTTATTTTAATGGTTAGGTGGAAAACGCGGGCATGCGGACACGCGGAAATGTGGACACGAAATTTATTAGAGTTCAAAAAATTTATTACTGAAGAATTATACAATCTATTATATTCATTTTGAAATCAATGGTGTTTCCTGCAATCTGTTTCGAGGAACTCCTAGCAGTGCGATTCGTGCTGAACCTTCTTTCAACCAATCATATTAGAGTGCTGACTTCAGCCAACCAATCATATTTAATCATTAGGATTGAAACAGCCAATCAATTTTAAGGAAAATGTGATATGGCAAATGAGCAAAAACAACAAATTTACATATGTCATGATTTATACTCTTGACTCTTGAGTGCCTAAGCAATTTTTAATTTGCGCATAAAAACAAAAAAATATGAATATATAGCTATTGAAATTTCAAAGAATTTTAATTTTTTTGGAAATTTCACAAATAGTAACAGGCAAAAATGCCAACAGAAGCAAATTTAAAGCATCAGGGAAAACAGGGGTAAATTCGCCTACCGTATTTCCAATTTTAAACGCACAAAACTGTACCAAAACTATTTCAAACCACTCGTGAAACCTACAATATGTTTAAACTTACTTGTGTTGCCTTTTATTCTTTATAAATGTACGTCTTCATTTCTTTAACATTTTTGTAGTATTTTGAACGTATTAATTGATTTCAGTCCAAATTGCACTAGTAGTCTAGGACCTGCATATGAGTTTGTATGCATTTCATTTAGGACAGATAATCTCAACTGTTTTAGGGTAAGTTGACCATGACGGTCAACATGGTAACGCTGCCCGAACCCCAATCCGGGGCGAAACGTCCGAAACTGACCACAC